CCTCACCCACAGGGGTCCCTTTTTTTTTTTTTTTTTTTTTTAACCAGGGATCAAACTCAGGACCTTGCGCTTTCAAGGCAGGCAACAGAACCACTGAGCTAAATACCTCGCCCCCAGGATCCCTCATCAAAATATTCCTCCCAAGGTCTAACCTAGCCTGCTCCCTGAACTCCAACCATTTAAATGTCGCATGAAGATTTTTCATCACACCCTAAAGTCATTCCCACTCTACCAACATACTATTTATTCCCTGTCCCTGTTCCCTTTACTACAACTGTCTGCACGTAACATCATTTACTAGTCTGATTTCTCATCCAGAGCACCATCCACAGGAATTTCCCCAATGACAGAAGTATTTTCTCTGCACTACCCAACATAACCAGCTTCATGTGGCTACTGAACACTTGCAGTACAATTTGCACAGGAGCTGTATAGTCAGTTCATTTAGGTTTAAATGTGAATAGCCATATATAGCCAGTGGCCACCATACTGGACACCTTGGATCTGGATGTGAGGCTAAGGAACGCAGGGACTCTGATTTCTTCTCTTCCTCATAGCTCTAGCAAACAGCAGAGCATGGTCGATTGAGAACACTGGAGAATTCGCCCACCACTGGGGGACAACCATGCCTCCAACATTTGGGAGCAGCAATCTGGGCTTCTCTGCCCACCCTAGGGACCTGGACTGCCCAGAGATAGTGGGTCTCAGTCTTGGCCCACCTGTGCAGGTGTACCAGGTCTGAATGAGCCCCCAGATGATGGTGTTGCACTTGTCACAGGTTTGCTTGACACTTTTGCTCTTCTCCTTGTAGAAGCGATGCTCCAGGAGGACCCGGATGTTTGGCTCATCCTCACTGGGGTCCTGCAGAGGAGGATCAGGGAAGAGTCGAGTCGGGAAAGGGTTTCAATCACGCCCCACACGTATTTCTTTCAGGTACTACTTATCACAAAGACTGTGCATTCCCCTCCTCCTCTTCCCTCTAGCAACAGAATGTTGGTAAGTCAGCTGCAGCCAGCAAGATCCCACGTTGCCCTTCCTAGCATCCCTGAAGCAGCTGCTATATGGGTCTGCACAGAGACCACGGGCCAGTAAGCAGGGAGGATGTGGCCTCTGCCTTTCCCTCCTTTTGCTGATTGGATACAGATCAAGATGTGCTGTGGGGCTCCAGGGACATGACAGCAGCCAAACAGAATAATCAAGATCTCCAGCGCTAGTTGGTATATGGGCCTGGGACCGCCTATGGGATTTTTTTCTTCATGAAAAATAGTATACCCTTATGTCCTTCAAACAAGTGTACTTTTGGATGTTTCTCACCATAGCCATACCTATCTCCTAATGAAAAGTCCATTTTCTAAATTCCCCAGGACTCATGAGTCAATATTGGGGACAGAGTGGCAGCCAAGCCAAAGAATACAGATTTGGGGAATACGGTAGACATCTATAGATTTTGTGCTCTGGATTCCATCACCTCTCCCGTTGTCACTTTCAGGAGACCACCCCTCCCGATCTCGATCCTAAGGCTCAAGAAGGGATCCACCCTACTGACTTGGTACAGTGCGTGGGTCAAGGCCCAGAACCAGCTGATCGCTGTGACTGTCTCAAGGCCGGCTGCTCAGTCATCATGAGTGGTCCTTGTGGACCCAAAGCTGACCTTGTATATTGAAGGGACCCTTCCCTCTGCACAGGGTTGCTGAGCTGGTGGGAAGACAGGCTCCCACTGCTGAGGCTATCCCTGCCTGCACAGGGAAATCCTACCTGTGGACAGAGCTGACACAGAAAGCACAGCAAAAGAGGGGAAGGTTCCTGACCCTGGTGGAAGATCTTTCTGCTCCCAAGGGTTTGTTTGGGTTGTTTTTTTGCTTGCTTTTTGCTTTCTGTCTGTTGCAACCAAGAGGGTCTGGACGAACATGAAAACAACCTGCATTTGGGGTGAGGGCCCCGTTTTTCACTCTGTCTTTCTGGACACCTTTCTACCTCAGCCACTCAGAGAACCGAGGCAGACCCATCCCTACAGAGGAAGCCTTAGGCCGCCCCATCCTCCTGCTCCCCAAGACCAGGGCTGGGATTTGGACTCCCTCCACAGTGTGCAGACTGGCATTCACCTTCAGCTCCTGCAGCTTCAGCCGGAGGTGGATGAGCCTCACCACGGCATCCTTCTGCCTCTCTGACTGCTCAGGCAGCTCCAGAATCACCTGCTTACATTCCTCAATCGCTTGTCGAAGCTGCTGGACATCAGAGGCCAGGAACAGACCCTGCCAAGGTCGGGGGCAGTCAGACAGCCACACCATAGGCTCTGCCCATTGAAGCCAGGCCTGTCCTCAGGCACATTCAGGCACTGAGCAGACCTCAAGCCTCAACCCAGGTGAGGCCCTGGAGAGTGAGTCACACAGTCAGCACCCACCCCATGCCACCAGACCTACAGCACCACATCTCACAGGCCTCTGAGGACAGTTAAAATTCTACTTTCTTCTTTTAAAAAACCAATTGCTTTTTTTGGCTGTGCCATTTCACACTTACTTCTAAAAAGCCTCCCCTTGGAGGAAAGCCAGGGAAAAGAAACTGGCTGTCATAAAGGAGAGGAAGTGGTCTCTGGCTAAACTGCCAAGCCCAGGCAGAGGCCAGCAAAGGAGCCTGGATATGACCACCCAGACCAGGATGTCTCACTGTGCTGCACACTGACCCTGATGCCACAGGGAACAGGCCCAGTCTCAGAGCTGGGAGGTCAGGCTGACCACCCTCAGCGGCACTCTCCTGTACCCTGGGCTCGAGAACCCAGGAAAAGAAGAAGCAGATCTTCCTTCATCCTTGGAGCTCAGTCTGCAGCCAAAAGAAAGTGCTCAGAATGTTATAATAAAGATAAAGAGGGCCGGGGATTTAGCTCAGTGGTTCCACCACTTGCCTCAAAAGTGCAAGGTCCTGAGTTTGATCCCCAGTAACAACAACAACAAAAGTGACAAAACTGAAAGGTCACAGTTACAAATGAAAATAAATTCAAACTGTGAGTCTTCTGACTGAATCTTTGGGTTTTTTTTTTTGTTTTTTTGTTTTTTTTTTTTGTGGTACAAGGGATCAAACTCCAGACCTTGTGCATTCAAGGCAGGCAGGGGCATCACTGAGCTAAACCCCCAGCCCTGACTGAATCTTTTTAAAAGTTACATTCTAATGTTACTATATTTCTTTCAAAAGTTGAAAGATGCTTTGCATGAAAACAAAAGGTTTTTCAGGGCCAGGCCAGGGATTTAGTCCAAGGGCAATGTCCTGAGTTTGATCCCCAGTACAAAAAAAAAAAAAAAAAAAAAAAAAAAAAAAAAAAAAAAAAAAAAAAAAAAAAAAAAAAAAAAAAAAAAAAAAAAAAAAAAAAAAAAAAAAAAAAAAAAAAAAAAAAAAAAAAAAAAAAAAAAAAAAAAAAAAAAAAAAAAAAAAAAAAAGTTAAAAAAAAAATTTTTATTACTAGAGCTCCCCTCTTTTTCCTTCGAAACAAGCCCTCCATGGGATAAAATACAGAACAACGAGGTGGCCCTGAGGTACAGAGTAGCTGGGGGGAGGCAGGTAAGAGGCTCCTCCCTCCCACAGGAAATTTCTTCCTTGGCCTGACCCCAAAGAGAACCAACTTTCATATCTGCTTCATGAGAACCTGGAGCTTCAAGGGGAACAGCCCCAGGTCCTCAACCCCAAACCTAAGGTGCCTCCACCTGCCCTCAGACAAACACTTCCAGGTCAGGGGTCAGGGGTACTTGAGGCCTATGGGATGGCTAGGGTGGAGCCTGCCGAGCTGGACAAAGGTGGTTCACAGTGAGGAAGACTGTGCCCAGGCCACGAGAGAGTATCTACTGCCATGTGAGACTGGGGTGCCAAGGAAACCACTGACCCCCCCCCCAATATTCTGGGGCCCAGTTTCTCTCCTCCCAGACCCAACTTTACCACAGGGCGAGAGAAGTGGTCCTCAGACAGGCCAAGATCCATCACACGCTCGGAGCAGCAGAACTCAGGCTCCCCAGGGGGCAGCTCAGGCAGGATCTCTGCAGGAGAGGGGACAGGTATGGAGGGTGCAAGGACAGACTGCCTCCTGCACGTCATCCCCCAGGAGTTGGGCAGGAAGGGACCAGGGGCCCAGAAGAAGGAAGCAGCAGAGGCCATGTACTCTCAGTTCAGCTCATCTATGGGTTTATATTTGAGAACAAGCCCAAATGAACCAGTATCCTGTGCAGACCACACAGAGCCATTCAAAAAGGGGAGACGGAATGACCCACAGGGGCAAGGAGGGAATGCATGACACAGCACTACAGAAACATCCTCATTCTGAGGCAGATGTCTGGTGTGTGTGCATGTGGGTTCAAACAGGCCATGATGGCTCCACTGCAAAATCCAGAACCCTGCATGGATCCTAGGTCATCTCTGCAACCACTCTGGCCCCAAGTACACCCTGTGACGTCCTCCTCGATCCCCAGGGCCCACAGCCTCCCGACCCAGAGGATCCACTAACGTCCTCCATGGGTCTTGGCTCTCAATTTATTCCCCAAGGGCTGGCTGAGCACCTGACATGTGACTTGCCAGCACTCTGAACTGGTCGTTTCAGCGGGGAGGCAGAAGTAACCCACAGAGCAGGTGGGAAGGGATTTGTGCTTTTGGGAAAAAGAAAGTGGCCAGCGCAGCTCGCTCTTGGCAGGAAAGTCAGTGAGCTCTCTGGAGCCAAAAGGAGGAAGGGGCCTGAAGTTCCCACTTCCCCATCACCCACCTTCAGAGCTGACGTCCAGATCCTCCTCTCCAGCTCCCTGCTCATGCTGCCCTGCCCCAAGCTGCTTGTTGAAGGGGTTGAGGTGGGCCTGCCGGAACCGAGCCAGCTTCTCATTATATTCCATAGCATCCCACCTGCAAGGCCACCATGCTAGGGTGAGTGCTCGCCATGGCCCACCCCTCTCCCCAAGCCCTGCCTCTTCTACTTCCCCACACCTAGATTCTCAACCTCTCCCCAAAGCCCCCCGCTGTCACCACCCAGACACTGCCGGTGGCCTCTCCTCAGGAAAAGCCCATAGGATGAGGCTGTCCTGTCCAAGCACATGGAGATGTGACTTATCCAAGGGGCCCTGCCAGAGCACTGAGGACCCAAGGTCCTGCCTCCCAGTGAAGGGGTCCTCTGGCCTCAGACGCTGGAGAGTCCCAGCCTAGGGCCATCTCACAGAACCCTGCTGGCTTCCCTAGCCCAGTCCAGCCATGGGCCATTATAAGCCTGCTCCATGACCCGTACCTCTTGGAACCTCTGGGTCCTACTTCCTGCCCTGACTGGAAGCACTTCTCTCCTAACAGAGCACCCAGAATTGGATTGAGTACTCAGGTTGGATACTCCACAGCCAACAAGACTTGGGCACACCTGGGAACAGGGGCTCACATCCAGATCCCAGGCTGCACTTGTACCTCTTGGCCTGTGTTCTAGGCCTGAACATAAACCCTACAATGACCTGACTCATTGCCTGGCTCCCTGCCCTAGGCTCAGCACATGCCAGAAGTCAAGGAATAATAATGCCTGTCCCCTCCCTAGGGCTCAGCAAATGGCAAGACACATGGGCCAAGCGTTCTGGAAGGGAGGAAGGGTGCTGGTGGGGCAGGAACTTAAGTAGCTGGGCAGCATTCCACAGCCTCTGCCTCTGTTTCCACACATGGGTCACTAGTGTGAAATTACTTCACAGACACTGAGACCACAAAGCTCTCAATAATATTCATAGTATTATGGGATGCTTTTCGCAGTGCTGGGGAATGAACCCAGGGGTATTGTTGTGCTACTGGGCTACATTCTCAGGGTTTTGTTTTGTTTTTAAAACAAAGAGCATTAAATTACTTAGGTTGGCCTTGAACTTTCTGCCTCAGCTTCCTCACCAGCTTGGATTATGGGTGTGGGCACCACACTACACTTAGCTGAAAAGATGTTTTTTAAATCATGTGGTTTATAGCTACTGATATTATTACAAACTGAAATAATTTACAGCCATGTAAGACAATTCCATGACCCTGCTTGCTCCTTCACCTAAAAGAGGGAAGAAATAGTCTAGGGAGAAGGCGCTACCCAGGGTTCTTGCATGGGGTTAAGAGCTGGGAGAGGTCGCCTCACCGGCAGGTTCTGTTTGAGCTGCAAGAGACAGATCCCTCCCTCCTAATAACAGTGTTGTGAAATGGTTGATTCCATCTCACTTGAATGTAAACTGGTGAGCAGCTCAGGGCTCAGGTGGAGTCTTGTCACTTGGCCATCCTCATATGTGGCTTCTGTGTCACATCCCAAAGTTGCTTCTCTTTCTTTAGCAAGTATACCTGCATCCCAGACAGCCAGAGGAAGGAAGGGCTGGAGAGCGGCATTCTGGACTGCCGGAAGTCTTGTGTGATTGTTCTGTCTGCATCCCCTTGTAAGGATATAGTCAAATTACTCTGCCTGACTGCAGAGTAGATGGGGAAATCATGTAACAAACCAAACATTAGGGCTCCCAATCCAATGAGAGTGAGTGGACACTGCAACAGCTCAGCCTCCTGCACTCTGGCCATCCCAAGGATGCACTGGGTATCAGGGGCTGTCTCTGCCTTTAGCACCTTGTGTGATCTACCTGAAGTCATCAGATGGTGAGCTGATTGCTCCTGTGTCCTGCTGGTGCCATTCTGTCTGGACCCAGGTCCAACTGTTGATCGGTCCAGTTCCCACCAAACTGAAATGTTGCCCCAGCCCACACTCCCCAGGTGTGGAATCTCTCTCTGCCCAGCCTCCATCAGCTGCTGGTGAGGCAACCACTCCCCGCCCCCCAGCTCTTCCTGTGCAGGGACCCTGGTCACCTCATAGAGATAAGATGGACAGGTCTAACACAAGTCCCAGTTCTACCAGCTCCTCTCCAGGACCTTGTGCAAATGCCTAAACCCTTTCAGGTTCCAGGTTCTCATGTGTCACATGCAGATTTATAATAGCAGAGATGTTAAAAAGACCAGATCACTAACACCAACTTCTGAGACAAAGGCCAGCTCATCCTAGGCACCCCGAAAATGTCAGCTGACCACTTTACTATCATTTTTGAGACACAGACAGCTCTGATTTAAATCTGGCTATCCAAGTGATGAGTCTCTTCACAATGACATGCTCCTGCCTAGAGTCAACAGACACCTGCTTCTGAAGGGGACAGCAGGGTTAAGTACACTGTGGCTCCACCACACCAGTAGCCTACAGTCGCCAAAATCAACAGCCACAAGGGATTGGGGAGCATGTAGGAGCCACACCCAGATCTCCCTGGAAAGCTCTTGGCCAGAGGGGTGAAGGGTAGGCCCCTGGCACAATCACCACCTCTCTGCCAGGCAGCTCTGTTCTGGGAGCAGTTCCCCAGGAAAAAGCATCTTTTATTCTAGGTGAAGCCACCAGTGCAGCCATTTGACCTCAGTGCTGGTTTCTCTCCCTGCAGGCTTCCCAGATGCCCCAGCACATGGGCACAGGGGGTAGTGTTGACTGGGCGAATAGCGCCAGCCCCTCCCCCAGCTCGTTTCACCCACACAGCTTCACCCAGAATTCAGGCTTGGCCTCAGAAAGGAACAGCCAAGGAAGGGGAGACTGAGGCAGAGAAGTGCACAACCCACCCTGCACCTCTCATGGGGAGCACTCCACGCCTGAGCCATGAAAGGAAATGGCCCAGGGGTTCCCCCTGAGGGACTCAGGCTGAAGCCTGGAATGTGTCTTCTCACTCAGAACAGCCACCAAGACCCGGTCCAACTCAGCTCTCAGCTGGAGGGCGAGGGGGGAGGTCCACCTGCTCCCACCTGGAACAAGGTCTCCAGAGACAGGGCTTCCATTCCTCTAGGCACCGGTACCCCCGCAGCCAACTGCAGAGACGCCCAACCACGGCAGCACCACTGCACCGCGGGGAGGACCTCATCCTTGCAGGTTCCTGCCACCACCCCGCCCATTTCATAGACCAGGAAACGGAGGTCCCACGGGTCTCACGGACGGGCCGTGACAGTCGCTGGGGAGAAGGACTGCCTCCTTGGGTGCCAAGCCCTGCCCCTGGGGTTGCGGGGACCGAGGCACCAAGCTAGCAGCCCAGACAAGGGCCAGCGGC